CTACCTCTACACAGGAGCTGGTATCTTTATCAACCTCTACACAGGAGGTGGTATCTTCATCCACCCCCACAAAGGAGTTGGTATCTTTATCCACCTCTACACAGGAGGTGGTATCTTTATCTCTACACAGGAGCTGGTATCTTTATCCACCCCCACAAAGGAGTTGGTATCTTTATCTCTACACAGGAGCTGGTATCTTTATCTCTACACAGGAGCTGGTATCTTTATCTCTACACAGGAGCTGGTATCTTTATCTCTACACAGGAGCTGGTATCTTTATCTACCTCTACACAGGAGCTGGTATCTTTATCTACCCTCTCCTCCCCACAGGAACCTGTATACCACACAGAAATCACAATAGCATCAAATGAACAAATCCACAAGGGCCGTGATAAGGATTCGAACTTACGTCTGAGAGGATCCCAGACGCTGCCTTAATCGACTTAATCGAGCTGGTATCTTTATTCCCCCCCCCCTCTCCCCTTCCTACCTAAATACACACACAAACAAGCTGGTATATCAACATCCCCCCTCCTGCCCCTCCCCCCTCACAGACAAGTTGATATCATTATTCCCCACCAACATACTATCTGTTATCCCTCCCAACATCATACACACATGAGAGCTGATATCTTCCGATACCAAAAAATATGAGGTAGATAAATTTGATAAAAAACTGCAACAAAATTACAAGATAATCTGGATAAAAAGGACAAATAATTGCCCTCAGATGGCTACTAGAAGTTAACTCGATCAAATGCAATGAAAGCCGAGTGCTGGGAACACAAGAGGCCTGAAAAAAATACGAAATACTTTTAGGGTTGATATTACATCTAATTTATTTACCAGAGGTTATCTTGAGATGATTTCGGGGCTTAGCGACCTCACGGCCCGGTCCTCGACCAGGCCTCATTTTTGTTACACCCAGGAAGCAGCCTGTAACAGCTGTCTAACTCCCTGGTACCTATTTACTGCTAGGTTAACAGGGGCATGTGTTATATATATATATATATATATATATATATATATATATATATATATATATATATATATATATATATATATATATATATATATATATATATATACGAAAATATCTGCCTATAGAGAATCTATATATTTATCAATATCACCAGGGGTGGGGGCGGCGCACCCACTCTATGTTAATAACTATAATGATATATTATAAACCATGGGAGGATATATTATTAAGGATAATGTTATAAGTAATAATTTAAGCGCGGCGTCCCAATATAAGGTTCGACTGGACCTTGCTTGACTCAGTGCTACCGCTGAGCTCGGAGGGGGAGGACGGTCACTCCTGCTCCTCAAAATTCCCCATAAAGACCAGGAGCCCGCGGGTTCACCATAGCCCGTGCTACATGGACATTTGGTTCCAAGTAGCTGAATCTAAAACAACGGCATTAATACCTAAATTTTCCTCTTAATTAAAGCTTTATACTTTAATTTTCCCCCACAATTAAACTTTTAGGCAGGAAAAATTCTCGCTAACAATATGATTTCTACCTAACACGGAGAGTGAACATTACCCTTTTGTATGGTCCTGGGGTCGCTGTTCTAGCTGGCGATCTGAACAGTCAGACTGTTGGTGCTTGCACCCGACGTCACCACTACTTGAAAGAGCATATTAAGTTATTAGCTAACAGTATATATATATATATATATATATATATATATATATATATATATATATATATATATATATATATATATATATATATATAATGTATATATATAATGTATATATATATATAATGTATATATAATGTATATATATATATATATATATAAATATATATATATATATATATATATATATATATATATATATATATATATAATGTGTGTAAATCACGAAAATTAATACGTGATGAAAAATGTGACAGTGTCAGACCACGGAGGAAGAATTGAAACAGGAATTTCCTCAAGTACTTTCGTATATTAATACATCTTCAGAAGGAATGAATCGACGTGGTCTGACATTGGCCATATATAAATATATATATAACTACCAGTCTGTGAGTAGTTTTTAAACCATATAACATATATGGAAATTGATGCAATGACACAAAGTATAATCAATCACTTAAGATTTCTAATATTTTTTAAAATTATTGAATACCCGAATTTTTTTTATTATTAGGAGACGGATAAGAGGAAAGATATCATGGGCGTACCTGACAACTGAGTGGACAGCGCTTCGGATTCGTAATCCTGAGGTTCCGGGTTCGATCCCCGGTGAAGGCGGAGACAAATGGGCAAAATGTTTCATTCACCCTGATGCCCCCTGTTCACCTAGCAGTAAAATAGGTACCTGGGAGTTAGACAGCTGCTACGGGCTGCTTCCTGGGATGTGTAACAAAAAGGAGGCCTGGTTGAGGACCGGGCCGCGGGGACGCTAAGCCCTGAAATTATCTCAAGATAACCTCAAGATAACCTTGCATGAATTTATTATTCTATTCAATTGTTGTAATTTGTTTTTGAGTCTAAATCACAAGTCAGAACTTAATAATAATGTATTTATGTATCGAAAATTAACACGCCCACGGACGAAGTGTCAATGTAGCACGGGCTATGGTGAGCCCGGAATAGGCGTAGTTAGGTCTGCAAGGATAGGTGCCCCCATGTATCCTTGCGCCTTTAAAGTACACATCAAACCCTCTTCACATATCACGCCCCGCTCCTGTGCCGGGTAAGTTACGGGCTCGCCATAGCCCGTGCTACTTGCCCCGCTCCTGTGCCGGGTAAGTTACGGGCTCACCATAGCCCGTGCTACTTGCCCCGCTCCTGTGCCAGGTAAGTTACGGGCTCACCATAGCCCGTGCTACTTGCCCCGCTCCTGTGCCAGGTAAGTTACGGGCTCACCATAGCCCGTGCTACTTGCCCCGCTCCTGTGCCAGGTAAGTTACGGGCTCACCATAGCCCGTGCTACTTGCCCCGCTCCTGTGCCAGGTAAGTTACGGGCTCACCATAGCCCGTGCTACTTGCCCCGCTCCTGTGCCAGGTAAGTTACGGGCTCACCATAGCCCGTGCTACTTGCCCCGCTCCTGTGCCAGGTAAGTTACGGGCTCACCATAGCCCGTGCTACTTGCCCCGCTCCTGTGCCAGGTAAGTTACGGGCTCACCATAGCCCGTGCTACTTGGAACTTGTTCCGAATAGCTGAATCTATAACAACAACAACCTCTTCGCATATCTCCCTTCTCTCCCACATAACACAAAACACATATATAGTCATGCGCAAACTCGAATTAAACTTTTTGAACATTTATAACAAGTTCAAAATAACAAAACCGTATTTTCACCATAAGGGTAAAAAAAAAAAGAAAAATAAGAGCCAATTAAGCTCTAAAAAGCCTCGTTTAGACAGAGGCGAGCACATATGCCCTTTATATCCCGGAGGAATGGTTCTACATTATGCAAAAAAAAAATTTGTTCATGCATTAAATCATTCAACTAATTAGAAATGTAAAGCATTTTTTCGCACTACAAACTTCAATTAAATGCGTCAACAAATTTCATAAAGCAATATACTGTAGTTTACATATACAATATACACACATATAAAACCTATATTAGCAATACTATAATATCCATTTCACAACACAAATATAAAAACCATATTCGCAACAATATATAAAAATCCATTTCCAACAAAAATAAATTCTAGATATACAACACAATAAAATAAAAATCCTAGATATACAGTACAATAAAAATAAATCCTAGATATACAGTACAATAAAAATAAAATCTCTCACAATATATATATAAACCTCCACTTTAAACACCTGAAGCGAAGCGCAGATTATCACACAAATTATCAAATATATGCAAATGTTATTGCCATGTCCCTCCAGCCTACCCTTGCCTAAACGCTTCGGTTATTACTCCTGCAATATTCAGAAGCTCAATACGACAACGTCCGGATGAAAAGAAATATATTTCATATATTTCAAGTGAATATTAACACGCGGCGCGAACGATTTTCAAAACTAAAGTGATCTATTTCAGCTGATTTAGGCTATCATATAATTGATATTAAATGTTTTATGGGAATTATATGAAAATACAAAGTACTATCATACCCTACATAAGGTATAATGCTTCATCATATATATTTCATTGATATAATTACGAGTTAAAACTCAAAACTATGTTAATCCAATCGGGAAAAATTTGTAATATAAATTGATGTAGAGTAAATATATCCTTTGGTTGTAATTACTCTTATCTCTTGACACTATGGCATTAGCAGGGCGAGTACAGTGCCAGATGTGTCTTCCTGTATCTCCACATGTGTCCTGTATCGTCACATGTGTTCTGTAACTCGCAGATATGTCCTGTAACCTCCAGATATGTCCTGTAATCCCTAGATATGTCCTGTAATCCCTCAGATATGTCCTGTAAATCCCCTAGATATGTCCTCTAAGGCAGTGGTGCAACGACACTCGTGGATCCATGCCTCACCTTGCTCCACTCTCCAGGATAACACGTGTAGAGATCCCTCTCACTGATAACAGGATTGGTTATATTTTATAATCTAGACGTGGTTGATATCCCGGCGAAAATGGTCCCCATTATCTCTCAATGTTTATTAAACCATTTTCTCCTGTCATATACGCTAATTTATTTATTAATTTATTTTCATAAATCCATGTGTTGAATAAAAACCTATCGTATCTCTATAAATACATCATTTCTGTTACAAATAAAACATGTATTAAATCTGTATATACATATATCCGTATCCCTATTTATCAATTATAAACCTATTTTACAAGGACAATAATTAATGGGTCAGCTTAAAAAAGCTAACTTTACTATATTAATAAGCGTCGATCAAACATAATTTATCATTTAATGCTGTAAAGCCTGGCATTAATGAACCCAAACTATGTATAGAATTACACGCCTATTAATGATAAACAATTTGCCGGAGGGGGCGAAGCCCCCCCCCATAGTAATAAAGTCTGCTTACCTTAAATTACAAGCGATGGTAGTTAGGAAGGGGGGGGGAGTCCTGGTTTAGGGGGGGGGCTGGATGATGGTTTAATTATCAAATTTATTTTAATTTTAAGTTCAGAGTTTTTTTTTGGTGTATTTTGCTTTAGTTTTTAATATATTTTTTGATTTTCAGGTTTTTTTTCTAAAATGTTTTAATGGAAATCAAGGTATATGACTTTTCTAAATTAATAAATCACCAGTAGTCTATCACTTAATTGCACAATTTAATTAAATCAACTTCAATTAGTCACACGAAAGGTCTAATCAACTCAGAATTGAATTAGCTTTTTAACAAGGTCTTTTTAACTTGTGTCTCCGTATATATGTGTAAGTGATATGTGTGTTCTGTGACCTCATACGTCAGATTACGCAGATTCGAGGCATTAATACGACAGATAATTACGAATTAGGGTCTTCAGAGATGCTGTACACGAATGACCTCCAATGCATTTCACACGAACAGCTAAGCTTGTATATTTTCCAATAATTCCCAAGTATCCAACTCTCTATGACACAGACACTTTCAACAACTAATTTTACCCACACGGTCAACAAATCACTGGGAATAATGACCCCAAACGCGGTAAAATGCGTTCAAAACAGCAAGGCGAGTCACAAGAACGAGAGCGCGACGCGCACAACCTCCCCGCTCAGCGACTGGAGATGCACTGGATGTGTTGATAACTGACCTGGGCGGTTAGTCCACGTGGCGGCGCTGACAGCGCTCTGGACTCAACTCACTGCTGACAGCGTTATTTGACACCTGCTGGAGGGGAGGCGGGGCTATAAACCAACTTGTGAATGAGCTGCGCAGGTGCTCCAGGTGTCTGGCTCCCTCACACACCTGCCTCTTAGACATGAACGGACAATCAGGGAATTAGAAAACAGTGAAAAATATCCGCCTTAGCGAATAATTTCAAGAATCTGATTCATTTTACGAACGTTGAATTAACTGTAGTAATTTAAATTTTGTTTAGGTTATCTTCCTAATATACGGGTAATTTAAATTGCTGTAATCATGAGGCGCCTTGCATGTTGATACAGTGTTACAAACTGCTCATGCAACGCAATTTCAGAAACGTGGGCCAGATTCACGAAGCAGTTACGGAAGCACTTACGAACCTGTACATCTTTTCTCAATCATTGGCGACTTTGTTTATAATTATTAAACAGTTAATGAGTTCCGAAGCACCAGGAGGCTGTTTATAACAATAACAACAGTTGATTGGAAAGTTTTCAGGCTTGTAAATTGTTTAATAAATGTAACCAAAGGTGTCAAAAATTGAGGAAAGATGGGCATGTTCGTAAGTACTTGCGTAACTGCTTCGTAAATCTGGCCCCAGGTTCGTAAGTGCTTGCTTAACTGCTTCGTGAATCTGACCCCAGGTTCGTAAGTGCTTCGTGAATCTGACCCCTGGACCCAAGCTACTGACCTCTCTGTCGAGTTCAACATTTTCCTCCAATGGTCCATGTACAATATTCTACGCAAATTGTTGTCTTAATCATATAATATTAATTATTTTAACGACGATATTTTATTTTGGCTACTTAGATCACTGTCCCTTGAAATTTACAATCACGAATCCCGACTTATATAAATTGCAAATACCAAGTAAAAAATCAATATATATATATATATATATATATATATATATATATATATATATATATATATATATATATATAGATAGAGAGAGAGAGAGAGAGAGAGAGAGAGAGAGAGAGAGAGAGAGAGAGAGAGAGAGAGAGAGAGAGAGAGAGAGAGAGAGAAAATATGGCAAAAAAAATTACTAGCCTAGCTCAAATACGGCAAAAAAATATCAGCCAAGCTCAAATTGATAAATTAAATTTCCTTAAACTGTTCTAAACATTAGTAAGAACTAATTTTTTTTGACGTTAATGGGAAAAACTTCGCGTGCGTGAACATTAGGCTTTCAACGAACCTGTAAATGTGAAGATAGAACTTAAATCAACATTGTGACTGACGCCTGACGGCCGATCAATACACATCATTTAACCCCAATTTTGAGGATAGTGAGCACTTCTCCGTATTGATCAGCAACCGCACATGCAATCTCCATCCATCCATCATCCTCGATCGATATTTGGGGATAATTTCGGGTGAGTTGAAGGCGGTGATAGACTGGAGGAACTTTACACGCAAGGGGGTAGGGTAAGGTGCCTGTATGTCTGTCTGTCTGTCTGTTTGGCTCCCTACACTGTCTGTCTGGCTCCCTACACTGTCTGTTTGGCTCCCTACACTGTCTGTTTGGCTCCCTACACTGTCTGTTTGGCTCCCTACACTGTCTGGCTCCCTACACTGTCTGTTTGGCTCCCTACACTGTCTGTTTGGCTCCCTACACTGTCTGTCTGGCTCCCTACACTGTCTGTCTGGCTCCCTACACTGTCTGTCTGGCTCCCTACACTGTCTGTCTGGCTCCCTACACTGTCTGTCTGGCTCCCTACACTGTCTGTCTGGCTCCCTACACTGTCTATCTGGCTCCCTACACTGTCTGTCTGGCCCCCTTCACTGCCTGCCAATAGGGAACCCCACACGAGAATATTGGTGGGTCATGCCGCATCTTCCATGACTGCCAGAACGCCTTCCTAATAATACCCAAGGAAGGGCTGTTAAAGTAAATAATTAGGATGGCATAACTAAGCTAACTACCGAGACGTAATATATATATATGTATGGCCATCATCATGTGCTTTTGCCTATCCACCATTTGACACTCTCAAAGACAGCCTGAAGATTATTAACGTCCCTAACATTACACCTTCCGTAGACTCCCCCCCCTCTAAACCCCCTCCCCCCCCCATATATTAAATGTTGCTCCGTGCGCCTGGACAAACTCTGTGGTCTTCACTATTTCAATTAAAATTACATTGGGCTCGCTCAGCTCTTGACACGCAAGAGCTTCGGTTTTTGGGGCTACACGAGAGCTCTGAGGAGCCTCTTCTTCCTTGTAAATTGGGGAACACACACACACACACACACACACACACACACACACACACACACACACACACACACCAGTACACCAGGAACCTGTACACCAGTTGATTGACAGTTGAGAGGCGGGACCAAAGAGCCAAAGCTCAACCCCCGCAAGCACAAATAGGCGAGTACACACACACACACACACACACACACACACACACAAAAGGGGCCTGATGGCTGAGTGGACAGCGCGCAGCACTCTTAATCCTGTGGCCCGGGTTCAATTCCCGCACCCGGCGAAGACAGATGGGCAGAGTTTCCTTAACCCTGATGTTCCCATTCACCTAGCAGTAAATAGGTACCTGGGAGTTAGACAGCTGCTACGGAGCAGCTTCCTGGGGATGTGAGTGTGTGGGGAAAAAAGCAGTAGTTAGTAACAGTTGATTGACAGTTGAGAGGCGGGTCGAAAGAGCAGAGCTCAACCCCCGCAAGCACAACTAGGTAAATACACACACAAAAGGGGCCTGACGGCTGAGTGCACAGCGCTAGGGATTCGGAGTCATACGCGTCCGGGTATCGGTTGCGATATCACATGAACGATATCACGTGATATCACAACCCCCAGCACCGAAAAATGATATGTCTTACATGTACTATTGATCGAACGTACAAAAATGAACGGTTGTATAACAAAATATCATAAATTGTATGCAAAAAATATGAACAGTACTTACGGAACCTTTGCATCCTAAGCCTAGATAAGTGACCCTAGGCCAAATATACCATATCTTAGGTATAATATACTATATAACTAAGTTTACTACTCTCTTATTTCATCAATAAACCGTTAAGTAACAGCAGAGTTCATTAATAACCCGTTTACTAACAGCTTCATTAACCTGTAGCTCATTTAATAACCCTCTTCACATTAGGCAATTCTATCATTATTATTATTAACATCTTTATTGACAGAATTAATTACAATTTTGCCTAATCTGAGAATTTCAATTCTATCATTAGTTCTTTTCATTATTATTGAATTTTATATCAATTGCCTAATTCAATTAATTGCAAACTCACTAACAGCCTAGTTTTTGAGTATATTAGTTTGCCAACGGGTCAAGTTCACTCATGACATGTTCAGAAAGCAAAGAACAAATGAGTCAGAACATATAAAAAGAGAGAATAACAAAATACATATTAATTAAAAAGAACAGCGGAAAAGTAATTTGAAAAGAACATAGCAACTCAAGTCAAGGATTAACCTAAACTATGACATTAAAAACACCTGTTCAGTTGCATACATCTGGGCTGTATAGGAGGCTCGAACCAGGACCCGCATGTGTGTGTGGCTAAAGCTATATTGACTAGGCTATCAATGCAATTTGATAAAACACCTGTATTGTCTCGGCTGTGCGGGTGTTGACAGTCAACACAACACCTGATAAAAGTATATATATTCCTCTAGGAGGTAAATATTTCCTATATTTTACGCGTTCAGGTGGCAGGAGAATGGAGAAAGGGAAGGTAGGAGAGGGGACAAGGAGGAGAGGAAGGAATAAGGGAAGGAATAAGGGAAGGAATAAGGGAAGGGGGAAGCGTGGGAAAGGAAGGAGCAAGGAGCAAACGATCAAAAAATTGAGAAACAAAAATTCAAAGAAGGGCGAGGCTGTCCTCCAGCACCGTCGAGTGAAAATATACATTTTATTCCGGCGTCCCACAAATAACTATGTTCATTGTCACTCTAACTGACAATTTTATTCTTTATCGCGATACAATTTCTAATTCAATTATCTCTTACATAATACATTTGTCTCTCTACCATGGTTGGAGAAGCTAGACGCCTGCGGTTAGTTCCAGCCGACTTTGCATGGTGATCGCTGGTGGGTATGTGACCTCCGACTTTGCATGGTGATCGCTGGTGGGTATGTGCCCTCATCGTGGGCTTGTTGGGGGTCGGCCCCATTGATCCTGGTGCCCTGGTCGATCTAATCGTAAGTAAAATAAAGCATAGAATTTCTGCTTTACTTACCTTCCCCCCCCTCAAAAAAACACATTTTTAATTAAAACATAAAAAACACCATATATCTTATTCTCTAACTACATAAAATTGCATTAATGATGCTCCTGCTAGATTCCAGACCGTCGTTCGAATCCCAAGAGATAATATATTGAGTATTTAACAATTTATTTAATATATCAATAAAGTTTCACTATGTTAACAACCACCAATATATTTTTTTGAAGTCAGATCAGTTTCCTTTTTTTGTTTAAAAATTTTGCTTTAATTAAAAAAAAAATTACATTATCTCTTCTAGATCTCGTCAAAGCTCATAAGAGTCGAACCTGGTCGTGACAGGCTAATTAAGATGCTGTCTTGAGGCGACTCCTTCACCAGCATCACCACGACAAGGGGCTAGATTCACGAAGCAGTTACGCAAGCACTTAAGAACCTGGGGCTAGATTCACGAAGCAGTTACGCAAGCATTTACGAACCTGGGGCTAGATTCCCGAAGCAGTTACGCAAGCACGTATGAACCTGGTTCTAGATTCACGAAGCAGTTACGCAAGCACGTATGAACCTGGGGCTAGATTCACGAAGCAGTTACGCAAGCACTTAAGAACCTGGGGCTAGATTCACGAAGCAGTTACGCAAGCATTTATGAACCTGGGGCTAGATTCCCGAAGCAGTTACGCAAGTACTTATGAACCTGGTGCATATACACTTAAGAATTTACCTTGATAAACTTGCTGTTTGATCGAC